TATCTATCTATCTATCTATCTATCTATCTATCTATCTATCTATCTATCTATTTCGAGAAAAATGTCTTGCTGTGTAACCAGGCTAGCTCCAAACTCATGATCTTCTTGTCTCGGTCTCCTGATGGCTGAGATTTCAGGCGTGTGCCACCAGACTTAGACCTAACGCTGAAGTTTGGATGTTGAATGTCTCCCAAAGGCCTGCAGCTGAAGTTTGTCACCTGGTGTTCCTGAGGGCAGATGGAACCCACGGTGACTAGCTTTGAGACACGTGACCACCACGTGGCATTCCCCTGACGACATCAGCACTCACGTGACTTGGGAGCAGGGAACAAGGAGCGTTTCTTCTTCATCTGAACATTCTGTAGTATGTCTGACAGCAGGTACTGCCTCTTCATGTCATTCTTTAGCAAGGTCCAGTTTGGGCCCAAGTGCCTAGGTTTGGAACAGATGGGAGGCCTGGGTTTTTTCTCCTGCATCAGCCTGTGGGAGGCCTTTTGCTGCTTGCACCTAAAGGAGAGCATATGGACACACTCCGGGCTGCTGCACTCGGCGCTGCTGGTCATGCTCATGCTTGCCAGAGATTCCAGGGAGGTTGAGAGCCGGTAAGTTTCTGCGGGTGTTAAGGGCTGAAAGAGAAAACAGACTGGAATGAGATCTCAGGAGGCAGGGGGATCCCTCCTTGCTCCTGAAACAGCCCCAGTGGTGAATTAGGAGCTGCCCTCAGGGGTTGGAGGGACAGCCCAGGGGTTAAGAGCACTGGCTGCTCCAGTTCCTGAGGTCCAACCAGCTCTTCAAGCCTCTGTCAGCACCTGACATACAGTGTCCCACAATGCTGATGGAACAATGCTTGGGTCATCCTAGTGTCAGATAGATTTATGTGCTTATTCATTTATTTGGCTTTTTGAGACAGGGTCCTTTTATGTAGCTCTGGCTATCCTGGAATTCACTGTGTAAATCAGCTTGAACTCAGACAGCCACCTGTCTCTGCCTCCCAAGTGCAGGGATCAAAGGCATGTGCCAGCACACCTGGCCCAGAGCCCACTCTTTTTAATTAAGATTAATTTTTAAAAATCTTATACACATGGCAGTGGTGGCGCACGCCTTTAATCCCAGTACCCGGGAGGTAGAGGCAGGCGGATCTCTGTGAGTTTGAGGCCAGCCTAGTCCACAGAGAGAGGGCACCCAGGGCAGCCAGGGACCCACAGTAAAAACCTGTCTCAAAACAACTACAAAGAAATTAAACAAATAAAAACCTTATACAGGTGTGTGTGTGTGTGTGTGTGTGTGTGTGTGTGTCTGCGTGTGTGTGTGTGTCTGGTTATGTGTGTGTTTTGACAGAGTTTCTCTGTGTAGCCCTGGCTGTGCTGATACTAACTCTGAAGACCAGGCTGTCCTCCATCTCTGCCTGCCTCTGCCTCCAGAGTGTTAGGATTAAAGGCTCTCAAAAACAAGGGTTTGGGATAGATACCGAGCTCAGTAGAGGACTTGCCTAGCATGTTCAAGGTTCTAGGCTCCGTCCTCAGCACTGCGGGAAATAAAGACTGGGGCCAGTGAGAAGCAGCTCAGCTGGCAGAGTGCTCGTCTCCCAAGCATGAGGACCTGAATTTGGTCGTCAGAACTCAAGGTTTTGTTTGTTTGTTTTAAAAGCTTGTACTTGTAATCCTAGCAGGAAAGACATGAAACAGAAGGTTTCTGGAGCATATGGGCCAGCTAGCCTAGTCCTAATTGGTGAGTTCCAAGACAGTGAGCACCTGTCTTAAAAAACAAAGTGGAGCCCGGTGCGGTGGCATGTGCCTGTAATCCCAGCACTCGGGGAGGCAGAGGAAGGTGGGTCTCTGTGCGTTCAAAGCCAGCCTGGTCTACAAAGCAAGTCCAGAGCAGTCAAGGCTACACAGAGAAACCCTGTCTCAAAAAAAAAAAAAAAAAAAAAAACAACAACAAAACACATAGACAAGGGGGCTGGAGAGATGGTTCAGTGGCTAAGAGCACTGTCTGTCCTTCCAAATGACCTGGGTTCAATTCCCAGCACCACATGGCAGCTCCAACTGTCTGTAACCTCAATTTCAAGGAATCTGACACCTTCACACTAATGCACATAAATTAAAATTAAAGATGTAGTTTTTAAAAACATTTTTTGATCTGTAGATCATTGAGCCTACAGATGTAGGACCTGTAAACATGGAGGGAGACTATATTAAGATTTTATATCTGGGGGTAGGGGCTGGAGAGATGGCTCAGCGGTTAAGAGCACTGTCTGTCCTTCCAAAGGTCCTGAGTTCAATTCCCAGCAACCAGCCACATGGTGGCTCTTAACCAATGAAATCTGGCGCCCTCTGCTGGTGTATACACACACATGCAGACGGAGTGCTGTATAAATAATAACTAAAGAAGTCTTTCAAACATAAAGATTTTTCTATCTGGTTCTGTGTTTGTAGACGTTCATCATATATACATCTTAAAGATGGGATTGATTGGGGGACTCAGCAATTAAGAGCACCTTCTGCTTTCGAGACCTATCGTCGCAGGAGATCCAGGTTCGGTTCCCAGCACCCACATATCGGCTCACAACTGCCTTGTAACTCCAGGTCCAGGGGAATCTAATGGCCTCTTCTGACCTGCTGGCATTGCATTCAAGGAAACTGTTAGCGTGAACAGCAGCCTGCCTAGAAGAAGGATAGCCCTCCTCCAAGCCTACTCTCCCAGCAAATACTAGGCCGCTGGCCTTCACAGGTGAGGAAACTCAGACTCAGCCAGCAGCGGGGGAGGGGGGGTACTCAAAGAGCCACAAGTTAGTGACCGAAAGAGGACCCCGAAAGCCAGACTCTTAACCACTCCCTCCCAGAGCTCCCTCAACTTACTGGGACTCCGTTGACTACGTTCACCACAGAGTCCGATTTGACTTCCTTGATTTGGGGATTGGACTTCCGGGCCTCCATCCCAAAGCAGTTGAGGTTTGAACTCCTCAGGTCAGGGACGGAATTGTAGGGCCTCGTGGACAAGGGCTTGTAGGGAGCGGGGCTGGCCTCCTTGGAGCCTTTCTGGGACAGGCTATGGACAGTTTCGTTTTTCCCTGTGCCACTGATATTCAAGAACAAGTCCGATGTGCAGGAGACTAAAGCCAGTGGATGGTAGGACTGGGAGGGAGGAAACCAAACACAGAGTCCGGTGGGGACTCCCATCCGCCACCAGATTCATCCGCACCCCCGGGGAAGGTGCAAAAGAGGTGAGGAGAGAGGAGACAGGAGGCACCAAAGACATCCTAATGTGGAGCGCTTAGCCTGGGTTCTGGAACCCTTAGCTCAGGGCTGGGTTGGGAGAGGAAGTCATCAGCCACTTGCAGCTCGGATGACAGGCAGGACAGTGTATCCTTGATGGAGGGGCGCTCGCAGCTCTCATGGGACTCCCAATGAGGCTGTGACCCCCAACGGAGTGGAAAATAACTCCCCAACCCCAGCTCTAGTCCTGAGCTCCCAGGTGAGTCTTCAAGACTAAAGGAGGTAACTGGGCTTTGGTGGCCCATGCCTGCAATCCCAGCCATCCGGTGGCAGAAGCGGGAGAGTCGCCACAAGGCATGGCACGGTCTACACAGTGAGTTCCAGGCTAGCCGGCAGGGCTCCACAGTGAGGGCGAGACATTTGAAAAGACAGATAAAATGTTAGGGAGAGGCTGGCAAAATAGTTCACCGGGTAGCCTCGTGTGCACGGGGCCCTGGTTCGATTTCTAGCATTGTATTAACCAGGCCTTGTGCTTCAGCCCGTAACCCCAGCTCTCAGGAGGTGGAGGCAGGAGGATCAAAAACTTCTACATTGTCTTGGGCTACATGGCAAGTTTGGGGTCAGCCAGTGCTACACAAGAAAAACAAAACGAGCAAAAGCCGAGAAGGATTAAGATGGACTGAAAAGTCATCTGGGTCGCTGAGGTAGAAGAGAACAGGAGGCACCAGAGGTAGAAACCGAAGACTTAGATCCCAAAAAAACGGGGTCCAACCGGGGGCTGGGCCACCCTGTGCAGAGGGCACGCAGGAGGCGCCCGGCCCTTTTTAGCCGTCCCCGTGTAGCGTTCTCCCAGCAGCCCCCCTCAGGAGCCTGCCTCGGGGGCATTCCCACCCAGGTTGGAGGTGAGGCCAGAAAGTATACAGAGTTGTGAAGTGCACGCCCCAAGTCGACTCAGGCACAGCTGCGCTGCTCTCACTCCCAGGGGCAAGAAGGACAGAGCAGTGAGCACCCTCTGCTGCCAGGAGGGCGAGACCCTCTAACAGATGCCTTCTAGGCCCCCTGAGGCAGCCCGTCAGTGTGTCTGTGCCCGGAGCAGGGGTCTCCGAGGCACCCTCCCACGGATCGGCCCCAGCTGGGGCAGGGTGCTGGCTGTACACACTCTCCCCACATCTGAGTTTACTTGTTTGATGGGACAGGTGGCCGCCTTGCGCTCCTGCTGTTGCCGTTGCCGGAACTTCACGACCTTGTCTCTTGCCTGCTCGCCCACACTCTCGCCCTGCATCTCTGCTTTCTTCTCCGTCTTTAGGAAGGATTTTTTCTCCTGTTTCTGCCTCAGCTCCTGGATCAGCTGCCTGTCGATTGAAGAACCGCCGGTAAGTGTCTTGGGGTAGGGAGCAGGTATCCTTCTTGGGGCTGGGGGACGTGGATAAGATGGAATGGAGAGGGGCTGGAGAGATGGCTTAGTAGTTAAGAGCACCGGCTGCTCTTCCATAGGACCCAGGTTCGATTCTCAGTACCCACAACTGTCTGTAACTCCAGTTCATTCTTCTGGATTCTGCAGGCACCGCATGCACAGACAGACATGCAAGCATTTCCGAATGCACATAAAATAAGCAATAAAAAGGGGAGAGGGAGCTGGAGAAATGGCTCAGCAGTTAAGAGCTCTTCCAGAGGTCACGAGTTCAATTCCCAGCAGCCATATGGCAGCTCACAACCATCTTTAATGGAATCCGATTCTCTCCCTCTGGTGTTCATGAAAACAGAGCACTCATATACATAAATAAATACATCTTAAGGGAAGCAGGTGGATCACTGTGAGTTCAAGGCCAGCCTGGTTTACAAAGTGAGTCCAGGACAGCCAAGGCTACACAGAGAAAACCTGTCTGGAAAAACAAATAAACAAACAAACAAACTCAAAAAATAAAAACAAACACAAACAAAAACAGATGCAACAGAGGAATAGAATGCCTGCACATGAGGGGTTGAAGGCCAAGAAACAGAGCAGGTAAGAAAGTCATCCTTCCAGCCATCCCCAGTGCACGGGAAAGAGGGCTGCTTCTCACACCGCGGTTCTTCCCCCTTCCCTGGAAAGAGGCTAAGGGGCTAAGTTTCTCATGTTGGGCTACGTCACGTGCTGGGCTCTCTGGCCTGTGAATCCTGGGACCTGGACTAAAGGTGCTACGCCAGATGAAATCACTTGATCCCGGGAGTCAGAACAACAGGGCTTTTTTCTAGTCCTTCCGGGTCATCTTGCTATACGACCTCCTCTGTGCGTGGAGGGGACCGGACCTGACAGGATGGCTCTCTTCAAGTTCTGGCTACATAAGGCACCTCTGAGGCGGTGGGGGGCAGGGGGGGCCTGCCTCAAGAGTGAGTGTCTGAAACAGCAGCTCATCTGCTTAATGACTCCCTGGAGGATGGAACCTCCCGGTTCCCGTTCTCTGTGAGACCCGGACTGAACATCGTTCTATCAGCTGCAAGGCCGGGAACCGAGACACAGAGAGTTCTCCCTTGCCACCCTGGGCCACCGTCGCCAGGACAGCCCGCCCACCTCACCCCGAGAGGAAGAAGAAGCCTTCCTACCGGGCATACAACTCCCGGGCTCTGGACGCGATGGTTTTCTGGAAGAGGGAGCTGTTGTCCTGGAAAAACTTCTCATATTTCTCCAAGTTCAGACCAGGGTAGATGAGCCGGAACCCGCCACAGTTTTTCTTCTCGTATTCCTCCATTTTCTGCAACCTCGCTGCCTGGAAACCCTTCACTTCCTCCATTCTGTTGGGAAAGAGAATCCAGGGCTGCAGTTGCGTTTTCTCGGGAGGGACACGTCCAAGCTGGGTGTCATCTAGGGCCTTGCACATTAATAGTGGTCGATCCGTGTTTGTTAAATAAAAGCAAGAATGTTTCTGAAAGCACTTCTGGGACAGTCAGTGTCACGATGCACGAAGGAGCTGGTTACAAGGGTCTGATAGCTCAACCAAATTCTCACCCTTTATGAGTAAAACCCATTTCTCCCTTGGCTTACTCTGACTGGGCAGACTGTCACCTTCCCACTCACTGTCCTCATTACCCCTTCTCTAGAGAACAGCAGCTCGTATTTTGCTACATTTGAGGGCTTCTTGGATGGACTTAATGAGGCTTTATGAGCCGTGATGACGTCACTCCTCCTTACCCCACCTACCAGAAGGAAGAGATCAGGTATGGTAGGCTTCCTGTACAGTGGGGACACCAGGAGCCACTGAGCCATCCAGCCCAACTACCACAAGGGACGTCTTCCTCCTGGGGGCGTTATGGTCAGCAGCACAGTACAAGGCCTGCTGGGATCCCAGGCAGTAGGTACTTAGGGCTCGGTCACCAGCTAGCCGGGCTTATCCATGTCAGCCTCCTGTCAGGAATTGTGCTGGCCTTGGCTCCTAGGCCACACTCTACCTACTTTCCACCTGCCACACAGAGCAGGCATTGGCATAAGGAAGTGCCTGATGCCCTTGAGGAATAAACCTGGTGCCACTGAGCATGTGTGTATATTGCCCTAGGTAGAATCTGAGAAGCAACAAGTGCAAAGGCAGAGGGGAAAGTGCCAGGTCAGGGCAGCACAACACACAGCAGGCTTGACAAAACTCTCTCTTTCTTCCTTTCTTCTTTTTGGTTTTTTTCGAGACAGGGTTTCTCTGTGTAGCCTTAGCTATCCTAGAACTCCCTCTGTAGACCAAGATGGCTTCGAACTCAGAGATCCGCCTACCTCTGCCTCCCAAGCACTGGGATTAAGGGCGTGCACCACCACCCCACTTTTGCAGGTGCCTTTACCCACTAAGCCGTTTCACTGGCCCAACAGCCGAGAGCCTTAATAACCTCCAACAAATTATGGTGCCAGGTACTAGGTAAGGCTTCATGGGAATGATCTCTTTCAGTCCTCCTAGTATCTTCTGTATACATAGTTCCACTTCACGGAAAAGATCCCCAAGCCTCAAGGAAGTGACAAAAAGGCCACAGAACTGGTAGACTGCAGTGACAACTGGGGCCAGGACAGCCAGCCTTACTGAGGGCGGGGCCCGTAAGCGAATGGGTTGCCGAGGACCAGAGGCGCTGCTGTACCTGATCTCCCGGGAAGGACACTGCTGCAGGAACCGTCCCCGCTGTCTCTCTTCCTGTAAGACTTTCTTCTTGTCACAGCTCCCCAGGTTGATGAGAACCAGTGCGTCGTAGAGCAGGCTGTCTTTCACCTCTTTATCTAGCTTGGAGTCAGTGGAGAAGCTGGGAGAATGGTTGACCTGTGAAGATGCAGCATGGTTGGGGGTAAGGCTGAGCAAGGGTGAAAGCAGAGGCGAGGCCAAGGTACCACCTCCAGGTACTGCCCAGGCCTGCCTCACAGCCCTGGCCACATGAGTGGGAGAGAGGCCTTGACTGGAGCCACTGTGAAGACAGCAGAGAGAGCAGGAAGTAGAATTCCCTTCTAGGGTAACCAGGTAGGGGTTGGTTGGTCTGTTTTTGAGACAGGGTCTCTCTATGTAGCTTTAGCTGGCCTGGAGCTATGTAAACCAGGCTGACCTAGAATACACAGAGATGCACCTGCCTCGGCTTCCTGAGTACTGGGATCAAAGGCTGCACCATCTTTGTCACCGGCTCTTATTTCAAGCCCTCTCTATTGGTCCTCTGCCTCATGGGCATGGGTGTGTGTTCTTTCACATGTTCTGTGCTCTCTACACACCAGCATAGGAGGATCTGGTTCAAGCGGCAGGTTCTGCCAGAATCGGCTCATGCCTGTAAACCTCGCTCAGGGGGTTGAGGCAAGAGGATTGTCACAAGTCTGAGGCTAACCTAGGCAGTACAGTAAGTTCCAGGATAGCTTGTTCTTTAAAGTGGCACCCTATTTCATACAAGCAAACGAATAAAAACAAGAGGTAAGAAAGAAGGAAGGCCGGGAGGAATACGGGAGAGGAAGAAATGGGGAAGGGAAGAAGAGGGAAATGGAGGAGGAGGGGACAACGAGAAAACACCACCAGAGGGAGTGGCACACGCTTTAATCCCAGCACTCGGGAGGCAGAAGCAGGGGGATCTCTGTGAGTACAAGAGAGAGAGCTCCAGGCCAGACAGGGCTACAGAATGAGGAAAGAGATAGGGGGAGGGAATAAAGGAAAATACAGAAGCAGAGTGATTTTTTTCTAGAAGCCAATCAGGGCTAAAGGCAAGGCATAAAAAGGGCTAGAAGACTAGGGGCCGCCCACAGAAAAGTCCACATTGCTCCGAAGCGCTATGTGACATTTCTAGATTCCCAGCAGCTCCTGGCGTCCTGCTGCTGCCTCCTCATTCTGTCCTTGGGGCAGAAGCTCTGGACAGTGCCCCCTGCACGAACCTGAGAACAGGGGAGGGCAGAGCCCCAGAAATCCAGCTATAGCTCTAGAAAACCAACAACAAGGATTGCGGGTGCATGTTGAATAGAGGCTTAAGAAGGCTATGGAGGACCAATTTAATCAGGAAGCGATGCCTCTCAGAAACCTCTTCCTCTTCCTACCTACAGTTTGAGGTTGGGCTTTCCCACTCTGTGACAACAGAGTCCCTTACACCGGTGTTTGGAACTGGGTGGCTCAGGTCCCTGAGGGGCAGGTAAAGCTGCTCCCATTTGAAACCAGTCACATGCTTTGAGAAGGAACAGGCTCCTTGTGGGGGAAACCCAGGAAGCAGACCGGGCTTCACGACAGCTCTGCGCCTGGGAGTGGCAGCGGCTGTAAATCTGGTTGGACCTCAAGAAGGCTCGAGGAATCCCCTAATTCCCAGCCATCTACCCCCCTCTGGTGGCCAGTTCTCAGCTAAGCGTGGGCAGCAGGCGCCACAGAAGGGAGTGACGGGAGAAGTGGATTGGAAGCCATCCAGGTGAGCCAGGAAGGCAGAGCCACCCTGAAGCTGGCCGACCCCAGGGATGGGGACGGTTCACACCCCCAGCTTCCCCTACCTCCAGCAGCCAGGGTTTGAGTTTCTGGTCCAACAAGATGTCAAAGCCCAGGATTTCGAAGCAGGCGCTGTTGAGCGTGTGGCTGGGGAAGCAGGTGTGGTAGTTGTGCTTGATGACTGGGTGAGCCGAGATGAGGGTCTTGATGATGACGTCCTCTATGGCTCTCCAGATCTGCTCCACATCGTACCCGTGGTTTATCATGTACGAGTTGAAGGTGGAGAGTTTCCTGAAAAGGAGACAGCTGTGAGGGAGGGGACGCGATCAGCCCACACCTCACCTCGGCGGGCGTGGTGAAAGCCAGGAACTTCTGGAGATGATAAGGCTACAGATGCAGTGGGAGGATGGAGTGACACACCAAAGCTGGACCAAAATGGGAGGGTCCTGTAGGAGTCGCAGGCCCAGACTCCTCAGGCCTCCATGACCTGAGTAGGCCCAGATCCGAAGCCTGGGAACTTGCTAAAACAAAACAACACAAAACAACCCAAAAAACAAACAAACAAAAAAACACCTGTAGGCTGAAGAAAGAGCTGGCTGGATATTGGATGGAGAACTCCAAGAATGAACATGTGTACACACGGACAGACAGACAGACACACACACACACTCGTCACATTACTGGTTTGCTTTGGCTTCGGCAGCAACGGCTTCTCGGCCTTTGGTGACCTTTAGGAAATGTGGGGAGGCTTTGAAGAACACTGAGACCTTGGTCGCACTTCGGTCACCTGAGGAGACTCTGGCGACACCAAAAACAAGGTCCTGCTCTGTGGCTGCTCCACAGAGGACGGCAGCCCCCGAGATATTTCCATACCTATAGCTACCAGCAGTCCCAAGCAAAGCATACAGTCCCCGGTTTAAACGTGAAGCCCCACTTGCCAGGAAACCTCTGCCTTGGGTAGCCCGGTCACCCTGTCAGAGAGCGCCAGCTGCTGAGCCCGGTGATCAGAGTTTGGGCTCCGGCGTCCCCCTGGCAGAAGGAAGAACTGGCGTCTGCAGGTTGCCCTCTCACCTCCACGTGTGTGCTGTGGTATGCATCCCCCCAGAGAAAAATAATAATAATTGTAATTTTTATGTTGTTATTGTTTTTCAAGACAGGGTTTCTCTGTGCAGCTCTGGCTGTCCTGAAACTCACTCTAGATGGCCTCCAACTCAGAGATCCAACTGCCTCTGCCTCCAGAATGCTGGGATTAAAGGCCTGTGCCACCACCGCCCAGCTTAAAGATTATTAAAAAAAAAAAAAAAAAAAAAAAAACATTTCACTGGGCTCTAGTGAAAGGGTCAAAAAGGAAGGAGCAGGCCTGCCAGCCAAGGACTGCCCAGCAAGCCACAGTCTGCGCAACTGCCGCCTCTGTCACGGGAAGCCTGAGGACCATGCAAGGAGTGTGAAACACAAAAGAGGTGTCTGTACAAAGACAGATGAGCAAAGGCCTGTTAACATAAAGGCCGTTTCCCTACCTGCCTTCGTCAAGCCAAAATGTTGTGCAAAGGTGGATTTTCCAGACTGTTGGAAGCCAAGCCTTTCTGGCGGGTGGGGGAAGGGGACCATTTAATTTGTCAAATTGGGAAATAAAATTCCCTGGAATAGACTACGATACCACTTCCCTGATTTCTTATAGCGCGTGTTACTGAACACAACATAACCTTTTCTCGATGACTCAGGGCCATCGCCGTGCATATGCTCTGCCTGGCAGTCTCCAAACGCTCAGTGCTCACCAGGTGTGTGCCAGGCACCCTCAAGATGGAGGAAGATGCCTGGTGTCTGCCCAGACACCCTCCAGACTCATGCTTTCTCTATCTTTTTCTCTTCGACCTGAGTCCTGCTCCTATGGACCCTGAGCCCCAGCGGGAAGGTCGGGGCAAGGCTGGGAGCGGGCTTGGCCTCAGCTGCCAACTTTGAGGAGGCAAGAGAGCATAAAAAAAATCGTCTCGTGTCTCAGCAGATGGGGAGGAAGCCTGGGTGGGGGGTGGGCGAGGATGAGGGAGGGGGAGGAAGGGGGAGGGGCAGTATGAGCAGCACAGTGAAGGCCAGGACACATTACGGGGTTGAATCTGTCCCTCCAAGCTCAAGTGTTAAAAACTTGGCACACCCGACCTTTGGCAGTGTCTTGCCCTCTTAAGTGGATTAATCTGTGCGTGGCTGAAAGGCCCGTGGGTGTGGCTCTATTATAAAATCAGGCTCTCGCTGGCACACTCGCTGAACTGAGGAAAGATGGGTCTCTAGGGGAGAGAGGCTGAGCCAAGAGAGGCCAGGGCAGAGGACCCTGCAGGCAGATGACTGCTCCAACGGAGAGAGAAGAACAGAGAGGTCAGGGCAGGGGAAGCAGAGAAGCTGGCTGTTATCTCAGGGTTGTATAGGCTCTGTGCTAGAACACTTGTTTAGCGTGTGTGAGGCCTTGGATGAATTCAGGACTGCCAGAGGGCAGAGGTATGGCCAGAAGTGTCCACATTCTATTTCTGTCTGGCTGGCCCCCATAACATTCTGTCCATCAGAGGGCCTGAGGCCTATTATGGTTTCAATGTTTTTAAATTCATATTCTCCTCTCTCTCTCTCTCCTTTTTTTTTTCTCCCTCTCTTTCTCCTCTCCCATTTCTGTCTCTGTCTCTATCCCAGTCTCTGGCTCCAGGGTCTCACCGTATAGCCCAGGCTAGCCTGAAATGTACACTCCTTCTGCCTCAGTCTAGAAGGCTCCTGAGTGCTAGGACCCTGCATCATTGTATGTCAACCGCACCACAACACCTGGGCGTGACATCACTTCTCCTAACAGAAGGCAAGCAAAAGCCCTTTGTCTAAAGAAAGCTAATGGGGGGCTGGAGAGTAGGCTCAGAGGGTAAGATCCCGAGTTCAATTCCCAGCAACCACATGGTGGCTCACAACCATCTGCAGTGAGATCTGGTGCCTTCTTCTTGCCTGTAGGCACACGTGCAGGCAGAATGCTGTGTAAATAATTAATACATCTTAAAGGAAAGAAAGCAAGCTAATGGGAGCAGACTGCTGGGCTGCAGGGTGGATCCTTTGGAGTCTCTCAGGGACGCCGAGAAGAGGGGAGGGCAGGGCAGGGCAGGGCAGGTTATCTCATTGGCTGCATCTTAAAACCCAGAAAAGGAGGCTCAGAGACAGAATAATTTATTGAGGCTTACTCAGTGGACAAACGTGGTCAAAGAAGAGGCGACATGTGCACACCAGAGCAAGGTGCTCCGTGGCATCCGCAGTCTGGCTGAGAAGTGGCAAGAGTGTCAGACAACATGGGACTGGCGTCCTCCAAAAACAGGGGGTGACTGACGTCGGGCATAGCAATGCATACCTGTAATCATAGCACTTGAGGCAGGAGGACTGGGAATTTGAGGCTACCCTGGGCTACAAAGTGAGTTTTAGGCCAGCCTTAGCTACAAATCAAGACTTGTTTCCACCTATAATCCCAGCACTCAGGGAGGCAGAGGCAGGCAGATCTCTGTGAGTTTGAGACCAGCCTGGTCTAAAAAGCGAGTATAGACAGCCAAGGCTACACAGAGAAAGAAAAAAAAAAAAAAAAAAAGAAAAGAAAAACCATAGGGCTGGAGAGATGGCTCAGAGGTTAAGAGCACTGTCTACAATTCAAGAGGTCCTGAGTTCAGTTCCCAGATCCCATTATAGATGGATGTGTGCCACCATGTGGGTGCTGGGAATTGAACTCAGGACCTGTGGAAGAGCAACCAGTGCTCTTAATCTCTGAGCCATCTCTCCAGCCCCAAAAAATAAATCTTAAAAAATAAGAAAATTAAAAAAAGACTTGTCTGAAAAACCTTTGGGGAAGTAAAGGCAAGAAGATCAGGAGGTAAAAGTATCTTCCACTACAAGCAAGTTTAAGGTCACTTCTGGTATACATACACACATGAAGACACACTCATGCACACACACAGGTACATAGCACACACATGCACACAGACACACAAAGATGGAACATCTTCCCAGCCATCTGGATCCCCTCCTTCCAAAAGGGCTTGAGTAGTGATAGCCCACATACTGAAATGCTCCGTGCCTCCCTGACCCATGAATCCCTGTGAGGCTGGCATAGCCGACAGAAATGTTCACCCCAACTGTATCACTCAGAGCTGTGTGACCTGAAGCAACTTAACCCCTTTCTGAGACTCGAGTTTCCTCATCTGTGAAACTAACACCATTCTCCACCCAAGGTCCTGGGTGCTGTGCCTTGGCCACAGTGCGATGGTAAAAACCCTATAACGGATGCTTAGGCACCTGTTATGTGTGCCAGGGCGCACAGAGACTCCCTCTGCTCTCCCCGTCTCTACCCAGCCACGTGCATGTTTCCTGGTCTACCTTTCTTTCAAATGCAAGCTGGTGACGTGAACAGAAAAGCTGCTTATGGAGGGTGGGGGGGAGCCTTAGGAATCTCTCCTCTTCTCCAATCTGAAGGCTGGCCAGCCGTGGGTCAGGAGACTCCAGGGCATCATGACACATCAGTTGGGAATCTAAGGGAGCAACACCCCAGGCAACTGCAGACCAAGGAACCACAGCTGGCAAGTTCCTCTCACTTGGCAGCCTAGCAATCAATAAAGTCTGTTGATCTGGAAATGTCGGGAGGGCAACTGTAACAAGGTATGTTTTGGTGTGTGTATGTGCTCTGCTGGGGAAACGGGCTCGTGTTTGTCTCCCTCCTCCCAGCCTCCCAGGGTTTACAGCATGGCCTCCTTTTAATGATTAACAGTCCGAGAGAGCTGACATGAAGAATCTGTTCTGGGCTGAGAGGCAAAACAGAGATCATGTGACCCAAGATGGAACTACTGGCAGGGACCTCGAGGGTCGGGGTGGACTCCCGGAGGGGCGAGTGAGCGAAGCGGCCCTCTTACCTCTTGCTGCCAGCAGAGTTATCTTGAATGAAGTTGGAGCTGTGCTTGTTGATGGAGTAATTAGTCAGGTGCATGCAGATCTCATCCTGGGGAAGAAGGCCGAAGACTGTGGGTGGGTCAGGCTGGGGCACGGGCCTCCCGTGTCCTCTCCATGCACTGCCCCTCGCCTCACTCCCATAGTCCCTGGGGCTTAAAGGGATGGGGAAAGGGGGGAATTTAAAGGCATATGTAAAGGGGTAAACAGTAAACAGGAAGTAAAAACGACATCCCACAGGCTGGAATATAAGAGACCCCAACACCACTCCGGGTCGCGGTGGCTCCTGCGCTCGGGAGGCAGAGCCAGGCAGATCTCTGTGAGTTCGAGGCCAACCTGGTCTACAAAGTGAGTCCAGGACAGCCACAGCTTGTTATACAGAGAAACCCTTTGTCAAAAAAAAATAAATAAAATAAAGAAAGACGAATAGACTCCAACTCTTTCTGTGGCTGGGGGATGAAGATTGGAAACAGGGCTTCTAGAGCAGCATAACTATGGCTTTCTTTCCTTGGGCACCTCTGCACTGTTGTTCTGATGGTGGAGTCAGGAAGGCTTGGCCACAAGCCCCAGATACACCACTTCCTGGCTGAGTGGCCCCAGACAAGTCCCCTACACTCTGCAAGTTTTTTAAAAAGATTATTATTTAGACGGTATTCTGCCTGCACGTGTGCCTACAGGCAAGAAGAGGGCACCACATCTCATTATAGATGGTTGTGGGCCACCATGTGGTTGCTGGGAATTGAACTCAGGACCTTTGGAAGAACAGCCATGTGCTCTTAACCTCTGAGCCAGCTCTCCAGCCCCACCCTGTAAGTTTGAATGTCATCCTTAAGACGGGAATGCTAACCCCTATCTTGGAGGACTGCTGGGAGGACTAAATGAGAAAACCTGGGGATTTGGAACACAGTAAATAGCCAGTTCCACAGTATCTGAGGATGTTGGCATGCTGAGGGGAAAGGGAAGGTGCCCTCAGCTCACCAGGTTGCCTGTGCAGGGATAGGAGTAAAAGGTGGTGGCAAAGCGAGCCAGTCCTTCCTTGTACACAAAAACCCTGAGAGGGTCACAGGAGGTCACCAGCACATAAACCCGCAGGTCAAACTTGAACCCGTCGATGATGAAGGGCTGGGTGGGAAGGAGAGAAGCGTCAGAAGGGACAGGCCCGGCTGAAGGCGTTAATCTCCCACCTCATTCTCGGGAAGGGGGGGGGGGGGAGACAGCTCCGGTATTGGTGGAAAGAGCAGGCTTGCCCAGGATGGGGAACGGGAGAGAGAGATTTGGGCTCGAGGACCTGAAAGGTGACCTTGGGGAACTACAGGGTGCCTTGAATTCCTGAGCTATCAAATGCTGCAAGCTTCCCCCTCTAAGGAGCCCTCCCTGTAGTGGGCTATATCACGGTGGTCCGAGACTCCCCCCACCCCAGTCGGGGAGAAAAGCTAGCGACTATGAACTCTCCTAGGGGACCCCCCTTCTAAATGAGATGGGGCCTCTCCGCAAACCACGCTTTCATCTATGGGAGGGAGGGGTCGGCCTCGTGAGGCCAAATCAGTGGTGGAGATGGCAAGGGCCAGGGGCACTGTGACTCAGAAAGGTTTGGATCTCATCAAACCCAAGGCGTAAGACAGGCTCAGTTTCATCTCCACCCATCTTCCACTGACTTCGTTTCACAATCTGTCCCACAGAGCCTGAGGCCACTGTAGGCAATAGATATAAAGTCTAAATGAGGAAGTACCTTTGAGATATAAAGCTGACAGATCATATCCTCCCCTGGCTTGATATCTCTCACCGTCCTGGTAATGAATATGCCTCTCCCTTGGCAGCCTGAGTCCGGCTTACAAATGTAAGTCTTATTTTTTCTTGTCCTGCTGTAATGCTGCAAATCTCCCCAGCTGTCACAGCGGGGAGGAGACAAGACACATCTTTAGCTTGGGAGCAATGACAAGGAACACTAACTCCTCATTTATTTTAATTTATTTTATGCGTGTGGGTGTTTTGTCTGCATGTAGGGCTGTGCACCCTGTCTGTGCCTGGTTCCAGAGGAGGCCAGAAGAGCCCCTGGGACTGGAGTTACAGCCAGCTCTGAGGCGATAGATAGATAGATAGATAGATAGATAGATAGATAGATAGATAGATAGACAGACAGACAGACAAATGCTGGGAATCAAACCTGGGTCCTTTAGCCCCAGGGGGCTCTTTATGAAAAAAATAAAAAGTAAAAAAAAAGCTACTGCTGGGACAAAGTCCTGGTGTCAGTAGAGACAGTGAGCTTTAAAGGGAATTCACACCAGATTCAAACCCAGGCCAGACCACTTCCAGCCCAGTAACCCTTTATTGGCTTCTCTCCCTCATTTCCACCGTCTACACCATGTGAATAGTGAATAATGAGACCAGGCTCCTGTGTTCTTTTGCTATGTGATATAAATTGGGCAGAGAGAGGCCGGGCATGGTGGCACGTGCCTTTAATCCCAGCATTTGGGAGGCAGGTGGATCTCTGTGAATTCAAGGCCAGCCTGGTTTACATAGGACCTCCTTCTCTTCTTACTCATGTCTGGACTTCAGAGTCTCGCTGTGAGGCCTCCACTTAAGCGAGGGGTACAGGAAGGCAAAGCACACCCTTGAATGTACTCTGTGGAAAGTGGGGGAGGGATGGGGGTGGAGGTCAGTTCATGGAGAGCTGGCCTAGCATGCATGAAGTTCTGGCTTCAGTCTCCACAGCCATATAAGCTGGGTGTGGTAGCACAGGTCTGTAATCCCAGCACTCAGGAGGTAGAGGCAAGACATCAGCAGTTCAAGAGCACCCCTGTTTACATAGCAAGTTCAAGGCTAGCCTGGGCTACACGGTGCCACGTCTCAAAAAAAAATACAAAGCGTACTTAGAAGAAAGCAGGAAGCCAAATTAAAACTAAATCGGTGGTCTGTGCCTATACTCCTAGCACGGAGAAGGCTGAAGCAGATGGACTTTGAGTTTGGGTTAGCCTTCGATACATAGCGAGGTCTTCTCTCAAGAGTTCAAAGGGGAGAATAAAGTAGCCAAATTAATGGGTTATGTGTGTCTCAGCCTTGCTTTACATCCTGTTTTGTGCGTTAACTAGGAGGAACCTTCTGTGCACTGAGAAAGTCAGGAGGTACACCACTCCACCGTGGCCTGGCCGTGAAATCTGGAGGCTCCTGTTTATCTGAACAGCAAACATGCATTGTTTGTTTGTTTTTTTTTAAGTCTATTTCTTTTTATTTTATGTGCATTTGTTGTTTTGCCTGCACGTATGTCTGTATAAGTGTATCGGATCCTGGAGTTACAGAGGGTTGATGAGCCATGTGGGTGCTGGGATTTGAACTCAGGACCTCTGGAAGAGCAGTCAGGGCTCTTAACCACTGAGCCATCTCTCCAGCCCCCTTTTAAATACTTTTTTTTTTTTTTTTTAAACTCAAGACAGGGTTTCTCTGTATAACCTCCCTGGCTGTCCTGGATCTCTCTTTGTAGAGGCTGGCCTCGAACTCACAGAGATCCTCCTGCCTCTGCCTCCTGAGTGCCGAGATCAAAGGTATGCGCCACCACTGCCCCACTGAAACAGGATTTCTTTGAAGTTGATGCTAGCCCTGAAGATTGATCCAGGCAGCCAGGCATGGTGGCACACGCCTGCGATGCCAGCACTCAGGAGGCAGAGGCAGGAGGATCACTGTGAGCTCGAGGCCAGCCTGGTCTACAAAGCGAGTCCAGGACAACCAAAGCTACACAGAGAAACCCTGTCTCACCCCCGCCCCCCCCCCCCAAAAAAAAAAAAGATTATTCCAGTCACATTATGAATAGTCTTCAAGGCCCAGAGCTCTTGGTTTGGGGAAGACTGGGTAGAGAGGAGAGAATGGGATTCTTTGCGGTGTGAGTACAATTTTTTTGTTTGTTTTTTGTTTTTTTGAGACAAGGTTTCTCTGTGTAGCCTTGGCTGTCCTGGACTGGCTTTGTAGACCAGGCTGGCCTTGAGCTCACAGAGATCAGCCTGCTTCTGTCTCCCTGGGTGCTGGGATTAAAGGTGTATGGCATCACCCCAGGCTGTGAGTATAATTCTTTTAAAAGCTTCTTTTAGAATTTTCAAAGTTTCATGTGTAAGTTTCTGTGCACTGTGTGGGTGGCTGGGAACCAAACCTGGGTCCTCTGGAAGTGCACCAAGTAGCTGCTGACTCATCTCTCCAGTCCATTTGAATACAATTCTTTTTTTTTTTTAAGATTGATTTATTACTTATACAGTGTTCTGCCTGCATGTACACCTGAACGCCAGAAGAGGGCGCCAGATCTCACTATGGTTGTCGGCCGCCATGTGGTTGCATGGGATTTGAACTGAGGACCTTTGGAAGGCCAGCCAGTGCTCTTAACCTCTGAGCCATCTCTCCAGCCCTTGAAGGCAGTTCTGATGGTGACACTTCACTGCCACCACCCTTCCACAAGCCCTCACTGTACCCCAGGTCACAGGCATGTCACCTCACCCCCTTACCCCCACCCCTGCTCCTTGGGGCAGGATCTAGAGAACTGCCCGTACCAGGAGCGAATGCCTACTTTTGAGAGGAAGGGTTGGTAGGGCAGCCTTCTCTGTTCTTGCTCTGGATGCTAACCACAACCCCACTTCTCTCCTTAGACATTCAGAAACTGCACAGGCAGGTGGTTGGCACAAGTTCAAATCCAACCGCTTTCACTGTTAGAACAAACGTCCATCCTAACTGTGGGTCTAACCTCCAAGGCACCCAGTCCTTAATTGTCATCTCGTTTTACAGGGGGAGCCTGTGTTTTTTCAACCTTGGACACACACACCCTTACCCTTTTTCTTCCTGAACAGCAGAGGAAAATATAGAAGGTCCTATGGAAAGAGTGAGGGGCAGCTGGGAAATCAGGGTGAGAGAGAGAGAGAACAAATGAGGGTGAAGAGGAGATGCAAGCAGCCGGTACTCACTCAGCAGGAAGACACCAGGTCCTAGGGAAAAAATGGAAGTCCTTAGGAAACATCTTTAGCATACGGCTCATATTCCGGGCCAGCAAGTCTTTGCGGCAGATCTCACTCATCCCAGGAAAATGATTGATTTTCTGCAAAGGAAGCCGGGACTCGTGAGCAATTCTGGCTGAGCGGGAAGCAGGGCTATGCGATTGATTCCTTCAGAGCCAGGGATACAAACAGAGCCACCACCGGCCGGAAGCCGCAGGCCCGGGGAGGAGCGAACCTGGTAACTCTTCATTTCCATCACGCGCTCTAGCGACACTGAGTAGTCGGTCCAGAAGAGAGTCCAGTCCTCATTGTCACCTGCCTCTCGAAGGCCATACTGCTGGGCGGCCCTGCGCACTGTGAAGAAGTTGGAGAGGGGGAGAAAAGGTCTGTGAGGGACAGAAGCAGGGATGAACTCAGAGTGGGAACGTCCCTTTCCTATGCATTCCCAGATCCGGTATTGGAACAAGAGAGCCGGCTCCTTGGCACGGGAAGCCATTTCGACTTGTGGACAGGGCAAAGAAAGAGCGCGGAGAATGGAAACTTGGCAAGATGCATCCTGGGCTAGCTGGGATTGCATGTTAGGCCCAATCTGGCTTCCCTTTCCCAGGAAGAGGCCTCTGGCTTGCCCCCAAACACTAAACCCTGAATGTAAACCAGTGCTTAACAATAATCTAGAGCCAGGCTTGATCAGTGAGGTTAAAAAGCGTTTGACACGGTTGAGTCTCAAGCTAGCCTGAGCTACACAGTGAAGCCCTGCCCCAAATACATACATAAATAAACAAGGCTATAGGTCCTGCACACCACTGTGGCCCAAGCCTATGGTTCCGGAATGACGGTTCCGGTGTCCTCTAACAGTTTTTGGAGGCAGGAGAGCCAAGGAATTGGAGGCCCTGTCTCCCACCTCTGGGCATACCCAGGAGTGACCCGTCCACACCCTTCGGTCCCCGTCACTGATCCCTTGAACACAGATGCTCACCACTCTCGTACCGGCAGTTGGACAGATTGATCACCAATCATCTGGAAAAGAGAAGAAGGCAGACAGCAAGACAGACAGATGTCCTGGCCAGAACACAGGGCTGGGACCAGACAGGTGTTCCATAGCCTCCACACTACGCGCCCAGGGCCGGCTCATCCTCGTCACTATGGATGGGGGTGAAAGAGTACAGACGGCAGGAAGCACGGACTGAAGAGCTCCATTACTCTCCGTGTTACAGTTAGGGTTGATTCTGCTTTGAGGCTTCATGCTGACATCACTGCCTCAACCCCCTTTTTAATTTTGTCAGTTACAGGGACTTGAACCCAGGGCCTCCCGCCCGAAAGGCAGGCACTTTAACACCAGGCCACATTCCCACTGGCCCCTGTGCTTTTTACGCCATCGGCCCACTGGGGAAAAGAATTTTTAAAATCCCCTATTTTTGGCTAAAATATCGTCTCCTCCTTCTCCTCACCAAGGGGTGCGGTTTAGAAAGCAGCCAAGCTGTCCACAAGGCACAGGCACAGCAGAGTATCGACCCAGACCTGGGAGGCGCCAAACTGCCCCCGGGGTCACCAAGCCACCACGGCCCGCAGGTCACCCCGGTCCTGTTACGCTGCAAGTGTGTGAAAGTCCCAAGACACACTCATATGGAGGGAGATTTTTTCTTACTCCCTCAGCAAGGAGCTTCCTCCCCACCCAGTCTTTAAAGGGCATTGTAAACACAAACAGAACAAAAATTGGAGCAAGGTGTGGACTCAAGGGTTTCCATAAAACCGAATGCTAAAAGTGGCTTCTTTTATGTGACCTGAAAGTGGCTTGATCTAGACGAGACAAGCCCTGGTGTCTCCTTTTCCCTCTTCCCTCCGGGTCCTTCCTGTTCTCGTCAGCGCTGCTCCCCCACCCTCACCCCCCAGACTCCTCGTTTCGTTTTTTTGTTTTGTTTTTTAATACTAACTTTTTTTTCTTCCTCTTCTTGCCTTGCTGCTGGGCGTTCTGAAGCCTCTTGTGTGTGTTGTCTCTGACCAAATCCAGGGTGACACTTTCGTTTAGCTCTTCTAGATCTTCTATGGAACTCCCCTCCCTCTCGTCCTCTTCTTCCTCGCCTTCCGAAGTCAGGCACTGTAGCATCTTCCTAGCCCTGGAGGAGGCTCTGGGGAAGCACCAGCTCTCCCTGGAGAGAGGGCAGAGCGAACAGCAGTTCCATGGGGCCACCTGTAGGGGGCCCTCCTCCCTTGCGCATGTGGCTGGTGAAGCGGAGCTCACCAAATAACTAGCTGCCTTTTATTAAAAAAAAAAAAAAAAAAAGCACCCCCTTCCAACCTGCTCCTGGTGCACGCTCAGGGAGAGAACTAATTCCACCTTTGCCAAGGACTCTGACCTTGGGGATTCACTTAGCCAACCCCGGGGTTTGGGAAAGAGGCCGAGCTGCTGTGCACGTTACCACCTGGTAAACAATCTTATTATTAAAGCGAGTCTGTGCCTGGAGACAGCCTCAGAACCAAGCCTCGAGCCTTCCTCGCTAAGGGACTGAATCCCCAGGGTGAAGCGGAGATGAGCTGAGCTCTGTTAACTGTTGTACTGCTGCACTCAGTCTTCACACATCAAGATGCAGGCGAGAACGAAGACAGACAGGTGGCTGCAGATCAACGGACCTCCGTTCCCAACGGCTCTTAAAAACTAGTACACACGGGAGAGATGGCTTATCTCTCCAGCACCCATATTGTGGTGTGTGTGTGTGTGTGTGTGTGTGTGTGTGTGTGTGTGTGTGTGTG